GCAGATATAGCAGCTGGCTTGGCCAGCCCCGCCTACAGCAGTAGCAGCTGCAGCAGTAGCAGCAGCAGCAGTAGCGCGCGCACCGTCTCTTTAGTCCACGACGCAGCCACATCGCAGTTGCCCCAGCAGCGGCAGCAGCCGCAACAGCAGCAGCCGCAGCAGCAGCAAGCTTTGCCGCGGCCACAACAGGCGCCGCACACAAAAGGAGTGTGGGGTGGAGAGGGCAGCAGCGGCAGCAGATCCAGCGTGGCTGTAATGCCACAGCTTTTGAAGCCAGTAGTCTGTCTAGCAACGGTTTCTTGTCTTTTGGAAATGTCCGTTCCTCAGCTTGGCAGCAACTGCCGGCTGCTCTGCGGCAAATGCCTCTTCGCTGCAAATTCAGAGAGCTTCGTCATGTTGCAGCAGCTGCTGCACCGCATGCTGCTGGCGTGCAACATCAGCCGGACGAGACCGTCTTCGACAACTGCGGCTGTTGCTGCAGCAGCAGCAGCGGCGGCGAACACAGCTGCTGCTGCTGCTGCTGCTGCTACTACAGCGCGTGCGCCTTCTAGTTCCAGACAGCATCTGCAGCCCACAGAGAGTATGCACGAGGAAGCCCGGACGCTCCGCTCACAAGAAAAGGCGGGGGAGGCGCCGGCAGCAGCAGCAGTAGCGGCGGCAGCAGCGGCTGCGAATGCTTCCGCTGCCACGGGAGCAGCAGAGAACACGAATCTACCAGCTGCAGCACAATCGCACGGACAGCAGCAGCTGCAGCATACTCAGGCGCCACAGCAAAGGCGGGTGCGGCCCTATGTTGCACGGAAGCTGCTGCATGCATTCTTAGTCGAGGAAGCAGCAGATGAGGGCCTCTCGCAGCTTCCGGGAGGTGTCGCGGGGACCAGCATGACGCGGCTGCAGCAGCTGCAGCAGCCAGCAGCCAGTGCGCTCGCTGCCGGTGATTGCGAACAGCAGCAACAAAAGAAACCTGCCACGCAGCAACGCCGACAAATCTCTGTCGGAATCCTTGTTGAGGAGGTGAGACACAATTAAAGGTCATACAAAAGTCCACGCTGCTCTGAGCAACAGCAAGTTAAGCCCTAACAACATCTAGAGTGTGCTGCAGCTGACAGGGAGCTCCCTTGATGCTGCACCAAACCCTAGACCGAAAAGTCCCTAAACCCCGAGCTGCTTCTGGCCAAACTAAGGCAACACAGGCTGATATTTGCTGCTGTTGTGTCTCAGATTTGCTGCTCTCTCCTAAGCAGCTCCACCAATCTCCCGTTTTGCTGCATCTGCTGCAGTGATGCAGCCGGTAGCCTGCAGCTGCTGCTGCAGGACGAGAGGCACCTGCAGCTGGAAGTGGACTTGGCAGATTGGCGTGTCCTAGACCTGTGCCCCAAAGCAGCAGCAACCGGTGCTGCTGCTGCTGCTGCTGCTGGAGGCCCAGGCGGCGAGGTGCACCAGCAGCAAAAACAGCAGCAGCGACGACTGGCACCGTGGTCGAGTAAGCTGCAAAGGAAGAGCACTACAGTAGAAGCTGCAGCTGCAGCTGCCGCGCTTGGAGTTGCTGCTCCGCATACACCGGAAGCTGCATCCACCGCAGGCTCTTCCTTCCTGCCTAGGTTTAATTCTGCTTGTTCTGAAGGCCTTCTTAGTGCAACAGCAGCAGCAGCATCTCGCGCAGCAGCAGCTGCAAGGCTCAACTCAAGGACAAAGGCCCCTAATAAAGTTCGCGACAAGCTGCAGCAGCTGCTTCCAGCGATGAAGCAGCGTGCGGCTGCTGCTGCTGCTGCTTCAGCTGCGCAGCTGCATCGCCTAATGTCCCATGGGACGCCGGGAGCTGCGGGAAACAGAGGCGCGGGTATTCTTGGCCATATGGAAAGTGCTGCATCCGTAGGTGCATTGGAGAGGTCGACAGCAACGGCAGCAGCAGCTCCTGCTGCTGCTGCTGCTGATGGGGGCAGTGCTACAAGCAACTGGTCTCTTTTCCAGCACCCCACAGGCAACACGCTACTCAGCAGCAGCAGCAGTAGCAGCGCCGGCGGCAGCAGCAGCAGCGACGAAGAAGCAGCGGGCCGCCTAAGAGCCTTAGAGTCTTCATCAGATGACGAGCACGCACTGCTGCACTCTAGTAGCAGCAGCAGCAGCTCCAAGCTGCTTAATCAGGCAGTGGAAGCAGACGTGGCGGCAGTAGCAGGAGACGCAGCAGCAGAAGACGAAGCCTCGTTGCTCTTCAAGCTGCGGCGGCAGTTTGCTGCAGACAACGTATCGCATGCTGCGCAAGAGGCACCATCAGGAGCAGCAAGAGATCCAGGGCCACGGGAAAGCGCTCCTGAGCCAGCAGCAGCAGCCGAAGGAGCAGCAACGCCGGAAGCAGCAGCAGAACTATGGGGCGCCAAAGCCGGAATCATTTTCGAGTCCTTCCCCGTTAGTCGGCTGGGGAAAGATGCAGCAGCAGCGAAGCAGCATATGCTTTTGGGGTTCCAGCAAGAGCAGCAGCGGCGTGCACGGCAGAGGCAGGAGCAGCAACAGCAGCAAAATCAGGAAGCAGAACAGCAGCAGCAGCACCAGCGACACTTGCAGCTGTCTCAACCGGCCTTTACTGTATCTTCCTTCTTGGGGGTTGTCCTGCCGTCAGGGCTCAAGGCCGTGCGAGTACTTTCGCCTCTCTTCGAACTTCACACGCAGCAGCAGAAGCAGCAGCATGAGGGAGCAGCAGCAACAGCAGCAGATGAAGGCTCTCTGGGCGGAGGCGCAGGCGGGCAAAAAGAAAGGCCAAGCCACCGACTATCGGCGCATGCAGTGTCTGTTCGCTGCAGCCATAGATTCGTAGTGCTTGATTGCGGGCGTTTCCAGGTCTGTCTGTTGCTGCTGCTGCTCTTTTCGTTGCAGTCGCTGCTGCTAAACCCGAGTTACATATTGTTGAACGATGCCAGGTATGGTGCCACCAGTTTTTTCTCTTCACGCGATCAGGGAAGGGCGGTGTTTGCTGGTGCTACTGCTGCTGCTGGCCTCGCTGCGCAGGTGTTCGACTACTTGCTGCTGCACATCGACCCCGTCAGAGTCTCGCTGACATCTGCGTTCGTGGAGTGCCTTTACAGTTTCTTCTTCCCGCCCGCTGCCCCCCAAGCAGTAGACGCGGTGGCACTCCTTGCCCCCTCTCTGAAGTGGCCTTCCCCGGCGACTGCTCCTGCCGCTGCTGCTGGCGGCCCTCTGTGCAGCCAAGGGCCAGGTGACGTTGCAACAGCAACGGCAGCAGATGGTACAGCATCCGCGGTGCTGGGTGGGGCCCAAGGCGCAGCAGCACCAACATACGGCGAACAACCGCATGCGTCCTGTAAGTTTGACGTAACTGCGAAATAGTTCTACGTTCTTGCCCATGATTTTCGCTGCTGCAGTCACTGCAGCAGCAGATGCGGCAGTTTGTTGCGTGCGGCTGCAGGGACTGCTCCCAAAAGCAGCAGCTCTGGTGCATTGCAGGCAGGCGCACAGAAAGCTCAGGCAGCAGCAGCAGATGCAGGGAAGCGCGCGCCGGCTAAACTGCAACAGCAGCCACAGGATCCAGGCCTTGGGGTGTACTTCTGCTATGTGCGAGTGTCGCCGTTTGCTGCTGCAGTTACCTACAGAGGTCAGTGCTGTTGTGCCGTTTCCTGAACGCCTGGGGAGATCAGGGTTTGCTTTTCAGGGCTCAGCGCGTGTGTTTGAGACTTAGATTCTGGAGCTGGGCTTGGGTTTCCAGAGAGATAGTTTTGTTTCTGGCGTTCCTGATTGAGGCTCAAGAGCCTCGGGCTTGTTTCCGGCGCAGGAGCAATCCGGCTGGATAACGTTTTGGTGGAGCTACGCGCCTTTGAAGTGCAGCACAAGCTGAAGCCTTTCAAAGCTCTCATTGACAAGTACATTTGGTTCCTAGGCAAACAAGTAAGCCAGACGTCCCATAAACTGTAAAATCTAAAAGGGCAGCAAAGCTTGCAGCTTTGCTGCCTAGCACTGACACCGGAGTCTTCGCGAGCCACTACAGGTTCTGCATTGCAGAGCCTTCCTGGGATCACAAAATTCTGCCAGGGACCTTTCTAGTTGAAATGTGACACGAAGAATATCGAATAAAGACAGTAACAACTGAGCCAATAGAAAGAACAGCCGGCGCTGATGCGCCTGCGTCTTGGGCTCACAAAAAGGCCCTCCCACACTGTACCCAACGCCAAAACCTTAATCCCCAAAAGACCTCCACAATTCAAGTCTAGTCTTCTGCATGCAAGAGCTACGCCCGCTGGCACTGGGGTCGGGACAGCAACTTCGCAGCATGCAGTCTGCTGCTGCAGCTGTAATGTTAATGCTGCAGGCGACGGGCCGCGTAATAAGTCACAAGCTTCTGTTGCTGCTGAAGAGGAGGCGGCAGCACGCGGGCGACAGCTTTTCGGACATCAAGAAAAGAGATTTACTTTTCGGAACAAAGTAGGAGGAATTCTAAGATTCTAGGCAGCAAAGCAACAGCATCAGTGTGCTGCTGCTGCTGCTGCACTAGTCGGCTGCCGCCCCGGCTGCTGAAGCAGAAGTGTTTCAGCAGACCACTTCAAATGCGGGTGGGTAAACCAAGCATCAGTAGCAGCAGCAGCAGCCCCATGTAGGGTCAGGCTGCTGCTTTGCTGTGACAGCGCAGCCTTTCAGGTGTACTCACAGCACTCATTACTGGTTCATCTGCAGGAAGCGGAGCGTTTCCATTTCTGCTTCTTGAGGCGGTTTCATCCTCACCAGCAGCTGCACTCGAGAACGTGCAGCAGCGGCAGGCAACGCTGCTGCGACTGTTGCTGCTGCCTAGCGCAGCAACAGTTGCTGCGTAGCAGTGAATTCTTATGAACATAGACATAAGGGGGTCCACCTGGCGGCAGCAGCAGTGAAGGAGGCTGTTGCTGTTTTGCGTTTAACAAGCTGATTTGAGTTCTGACTCGAGGATGATGCGGCACAGTTTGCAGCAACTGCAGCAAGAGCAGCACCGGCAGCCAGCGAGGCACAGCAGCCTGTGATCAGCAGCGCTCAAATACCCTGTAGAGCGCCTTAAGGTTTGTTAGCTCCTTAACAGTGCCGTCTGAGAAAAAGCTGAAGCAAAAAGGACATGCATGCAAAGCAGCGCAGTATTTCCTAGCAGCAGCCGCACCAGAAACAGAGAGGGCAGAAGCAGAATCAAAAAGAAAAGCATAAGCAGCAAAGCCACCACAGAACAGCCACTACAGCTTGCCAAACACAGTCTCAGCAGCAGCATAAGCAGCAGCAACAGCATCAGCGGCAGCAGCAGATACCAATTGGGGATGTAGGCTTTCCAGTAGAAACGAAGGGCAGGCATGAGCACATTGCTGAACATCCGCCGGGTCTCTGGGCTAGCAGCCATTTGCTTGTCGATATCGCTGCAATCCCTGCAGCAGCAGCAGCGGCAGCAGTGGAAGCAACGGTTGCTGCTGCAGCAGTGCCGGCAGCAGACGAAAACAGGCAACACTGCAACGCTAGGAAGAGAGCGCCAGCAGCAGCAAAAGCAAATTATAGCTTTCCCCTTCCAAGCGTACCGCTGCGTTGCAGCCTCCTCCCGAAGGCACGCTTTTTGCTGCAACAGCAGTGTGTTGCTGCTGCTGTTGCTTTGATCCTGCTTTTGCTGCTGCTGCAGCCTGGCGTGCTCGTTTGACTCCGCAGAAGCCTCTTCAGCAGCAGCAGCAGCTTCTGCTGGAACTGCAGCAGAAGATTCGTCCACTGTGGTGTACGCCTCTGCCAGCAAGAGCGCGATGCCGTGGAGGCACGCAACTTCTTCGGACCAGTCTACCTGAAGCAGCAGCAGCAGCAACAACAAACTGCATCCGACCCCCGCACAGCCGCAACGGTGGCCGCAGGAAAGAGCAGTATACTCGGCAGCACATCTGAGGCAGCAGCCGCAGGGAGAACTTCGACAGACCTCTGTGGCTAGCCGCAGCAGCAAGGAGCACAGCAGCAGAGGCGAGGGCAAATGGCGGCCGCAGCAGAGAGGCAGCCCCACGAGGCAGCCATCTCGTGTCAGCACGAGACCGAAGTAATCTGCCAGCAGCGCGCGGCGCTGCAGCAGCACTGCGCAGTGCTGCCGAGCCGTTTCCCGCTGCTGCTGCTGCTGCTGCTGCTGCGGCTCTGACTCGTTTTGGTACTGCTGCTCCCTAAGGGCAGCACAGAGAGCTGCTTCTAGCTTCGAGGGCACCTGCAGCCTGACCACGGGCAGCCTGCCTAGCCGCCGTAGAACAGACTGGTAGACACACTCTGCAAATGCACAAACCCTAAACCCTAGGCCCCATAAGTAATAGGCTGCTTCCTTAAGTTAAGGCTGTTGCAGCAGCAAAAGGGTCTAGTACTTAAGGGCCAAGGGCTTCTACCTCTTGCCACGGCCGGGAGATTCACGAGAAGAAGACTTTCTCCCTTCTGCAGCAACGCCATCTTGGAGTTGACTGCCCCCACGTATGTGCAGCCCTGCAGGGCCGTCGCGCTATCTCGGTTGCTGCTGCTGCTGTCTGCGGCCTCCACTCCGGCTGCTGCTGCGCAGCGCTTCAGCAGCTGCCGGACGCTCCGAAGCCGCCCCGCGTCTGTCCGTGAGCTGCTGCTGCTGCTGCAGGGGGCAACCCTGTCTAGAACGTGTCCACCATTGGATCTCTCATCAAACAGCCGCAGCACTGACTGCGGCTGGCTGCTTGCTTGTGTTGCTGCTGGTTCTGCGGCAGCAGGGCTCTGCTCTGGCTGCTGCTGCTCTTGCTGCTGATGCTCGTGCTGCTGATGCTCTTGCTGCTGCTGCTCTTGCTGCTGATGCCCTTGCTGCTGCTGCTCTTGCTGCTGATGCTCTTGCTGCTGCTCCGGGTGTTGCGATGGCATGCCATCAGAAGAGTCTTGCTCCAGCTGCTGCTGCTGCTGCTGCTGCTCATCGGGCAGCTGCACTTGGTCTCCCGGACCTTCCTGCAACGGTGCAGCAGCCGTGGCGTTGCTGATGCTGCTACACGGAATTAGCTGCTGCTCCTGCTGCCCCAGCGGCTGTGCCTTCTGCGAATGGAAGCTGTGCTGCCAGAAGGCGCTCAGGGGAAGCTGTCGAGCGTCTGTTCTCGTTCGAGTGGGCTTCAGAGCAGGCTTGCTGCTGCTGCTGCTGCTGCTGCTGCTTCCGCTGCTTCTGCGTTTATTCGTGGTATCTCCTTCCGGTTGCTCCTGCGTCTTACTGTCAGTAGACACAAGCACGAGGTGCTGCTGCTTTAGCTTAGATTCAGCAACGGCCGGCTCCTGCAACAGCAAGGCTTTTGAGGATGTTTGCCCGCTGAGCATCTCCTGCAGCAGCAGCAGCAGATAAAAGGTGTCGACGGCAGAAGCCCCATTGACGGCCAAACAAAAGAACAGCAAGCAAGACAACCCGGGCAGCACTCCGGCAGAACAGTTGTCGCGAGCCTGCGCAGCAGCAGCCGCAGCAGCAAGGGCAGCCGCAGCAGCAGCTGCAGCAGCAACGGAAGCAGCAGCAGCAGCAGCGGCGTACCATGAGGGCCTGAGCTATGGCCTCAGCAATGACTTCCTCGTGCAGAAAACGAACTTGGCTTTTGCTGGGATGCACATTAACATCTACCAGAGGCGAAGGCAGCTCTAGAGACAAATATACCCACGGCCTCTGGCCCTTCGGCATTAGCTGCCCGTAAACCCCGTCGACGCAGCGCCTGCAGCAGCAGCAGCAGCAGCAGCAGCAATTAAGGCGGCAGCAGCAACAGCAAGCGCGAAGACGCGCAGCAGCTGCCGTTGCAAGCACGACCTCACCTGCTGCTGCAGCAACACTGTTGCTGCTGCAGCAACACAGGAAGAGCGATGCAGCAGCACCAGCACGTCATCGCAGCATGTAAAAGCAGGAACAGCAGCAAGTGCTGCAACATTAGCAAGTGCAGCAGGAGCGGCAAGTGCAGCAGCAGCGGCAGCAGCAGCAACAGCAGCAGGACGGACTTGAGCGCAGGGCAGTCAACAAGCCTGGAGTTAATAAAGAAGCAAAATGACGCTTTCTTTTGTCCTCTGTTAGCTGCAGAAACAAGGCCTGAGACTCGCCATTCGCCCTCATTAATATCTGTCAAATATAACTCAGCAGCAGCTGCTGCTGCTACTGCAGCAGCAGACGCACCCGCTGCTGCAGGCGCACCCGCTGCAGCAGCACCAGCAGAGCCATCAGCTGCAGCAAACAACAGGGAGGCCAACTCGCGCAATAATGGACAAACACTTTCGCTGCTGCTGCTGCTGCTGCTGCTGTCTCCGCTACCACTCTCTGCAGCAGCTTCTGCAGTCGCTTCGCCTTCGCTCGCCGGCTGCTGCTGCTGGCATTCTTGCTGCTGCTGCTCCTCCTGCTGCTCCCCGCTGCGAAGGAAGTTCAGAGCTGCTGCAGGAAGCCGCCCCTTGAGGTGTATAGGCAGCAAAGTGCTGCTGGTGGCTTCCCCATGAATCTTTTCAATGAGCCATCAGCTGCAGCAAACAACAGGGAGGCCAACTCGCGCAATAATGGACAAACACTTTCGCTGCTGCTGCTGCTGCTGCTGTCTCCGCTACCACTCTCTGCAGCAGCTTCTGCAGCCGCTTCGCCTTCGCTCGCCGGCTGCTGCTGCTGGCATTCTTGCTGCTGCTGCTGCTCCTGCTGCTCCCCGCTGCGAAGGAAGTTCAGAGCTGCTACAGGAAGCCGCCCCTTGAGGTGTATAGGCAGCAAAGTGCTGCTGGTGGCTTCCCCATGAATCTTTTCAATTACTCTGAGCCCTCCCCCCTGCAGCAGCGCAATTCCCCGCAGCAGCCGCAGCTCTGCAGCAGTAGGCACTCTTTCTTTATCCTCTGTGCAGCAGCAGCTGCAGGTCAACTCGCCGCTGCTGCTGCTGCTGCTGTCGCCTTCCTGCGGCTGCTGCTGTTTTCTGTGCTGCTGCAGCAGCTTCCTGGCCTCTGAAAGCCCAAATGCTGTTGTGTTGATGTCTGGCAGCTGCTGCTGCTGCCTCCTCATAACGAAAGCAACGTGGGGGTTGTTGAGGGCGTAGCGGCCAACGACCTGCAGGCATTTCAAGTACTCATCTGTTCCTGCTGCTGCTGCTGCTGCTGCTGCTGCTGCGCCTGCGCCGCCCCCCGCCACAGCAGACGACAGAAAGACCCGCCGACGCGCAGGAAGACAATAAAATAAATCTGTTGCTTTTATTGTTGTGCCTCGAGCTCTGGCGAGCGGTGTGGGGTCTTCAGCGAGGACCCCTGCGGTGTACGTACAGCTCAGCCCGTGGGGGGCCCCCACCTCCTTCGTTGACACCGACAGCTTCGAAACGAGAGAAAGTGCTGCTAAGGCCTCTCCCCTGAAGCCAAAGGACTGCAGGTGCTGCAGCTGCTGCAGCTGCTGCAGCTTGCTGGTGCAGTGCCGGGCGCACAGCAGCGGCAGGTCTGCTGCAGCAATTCCGCAGCCGTCGTCCGCCACCTGCAGCAGCCGCAGCCCGCCCCCCACGCAGTGTACAGACACCCGAAGGGCCCCCGCGTCCAAGCTGTTCTCCAGCAGCTCCTTCAGAGCAGCAGAAGGCCGCGTCACCACCTCTCCTGCTGCTATGCGCCGCACCACGTCATCCGGCAGCAAACGGATGCGGCCACCCGCTGCTGCTGCTGCTGCTGCTGCTGCTGCCTTTTCTGCTGCTCCGCGGGCTGCTGCGCCTGCAGCCGGCAGCGCAGCGTCCAAGGAAGGGCTCGAAAAATCAGCAAATGAGGGCTGGCAGGATGAAGGCGGCCCACCCTCTCCCGCTGCTGCTGTTGCTGCTGCTGCTTCTGCTGCGGCTGCAGCGGGAGCAGATGCAGCTTGTGTTGCTGCAGCATCCTCCTCAACTGCTGCTGCTTTAGCCTCATACGCCTTTGTTGCTGCTTCCACTGAGTCGCGGTTTGCTGCTGCGTCCACTGCTGCTGCTGCTTCGACGATCTCCTCGGGGTCCCACATTGCGCTGCAGTCTGCTGCTCTTCCTGCTGCTGCCCAGCGTTTGCTGCTGCCTTCGCTGCAGTGGAGCTCCGTCAGCTGCAGCTCTCAGGCGCTGCCACGGCGAGTGCCGTTGCTGCTGTTGCTGCTCTCGTTGCGGCGGCTGCAGTTCCTCTGACTTCATGTCTATTTTAGCCTTTTTAATGCGGATTCTGTATGGATATGGGGGGTATGCCCGGGCGGGGGGCCTCAGCCAGGCTGGGGGCCCCCTCGCCTTCGGCTGTTTCCTGCAGCCGACACCCCGCGTACCTCTTGACTTGTCTTTGTAGAAGTCGTGTTGCTTCAGTTTCTACAAAATGCCAAAATATGTCGCTGCACATTTAGGTGGGGTTGTTGTTATCAGCAAGCTTTGGGGGGCCCCCCTGCCGCCGCCCGGGGCCCGTACGGGCCCCCGTGGCAAGCCCCAAGAAAGGACCTGGAGGCCCGCCGCGCTATTTGTGTCACAACATACTGATGTTTACAACATTAGAAAAGTCCACTTATCCAAGGAGGCATTGGGAGACCCGCCATATGAAAAATTAGCCAGTCTGCTGCTGCAGCAGGAGCAGGAGCAGCAGCGTTCCAGCAGCAGCAGCGGCAGCAGCTTCGGCAGCAGCAGCTCCATCCTTCCCCGGGCCCTGCACATGCTGCTGCACCTCTTGGCTTGTGGAGCTCTCCCATTGTTCGTGACAGGGAGCTCTTAGAGGGGCAAGAACGCCCGTAGCGGCAGCAGCTGCGCAAGCAGCAGCTAGCAAACCCAGCAGCAGCAGCAGCAGCAGAAGCAGCAGCAGGATGAATGGGTGCAGCAAGAGAGCTTCCTGCGCCGCTTTAAGGCCTTCTCTGTCTCTGATTCCTTATGGCCGACAGATTCGCCACTGGGAAGCAGCAGAAATACTCCGGCGCATGCGAACATCGGACAGCAACAGCGGCCACAAACTTCACCCCTGCATGGACACTTGGTGGGCTGCCGTGCTGCTGTTGCTGGGGGTTTCGCTCTTTCTGCCGCAGCTGCTGCTGCTGCAGCAGCTGCTGCTGCAGCAGCAGCTGCTGCAGCAGCAGCTGATACTGCTTCTGCGTTGCTGCTGCGCACTTCAAGTCTAGCGGCGACTGCGAAGCTGCTGTTGCGCTGCTGCTGCTGCTGCTGCTGCAGGAGTGCGCACTTGCAGTGCCTGCGTCGCTTTCCTCACTCTGCGGAGCGTCGCTGCCGGCTGTCAGAAGAGCAGCACCAAAGATGTCTCAAAGAAAACAGAAACTGGAGGCCCACGGACTCCATGAAAGCCATGAAGATCCTGGAGCTGTATGTCCATATGCTGCTGCTGCTGCTGCTGCTGCTGTTGCTGCTGCTGTTGCTGCTGCCGCAGGCGGTTCTGGGATGCGGCTTCTCTTCCTCTCCTTGCATTTTTGCTACCCTCTGTGCTGGCTGCTGCTGCTGCTGCTGCTGCTGCTGCTGCTTCTGCTGCTGTTGCAGCTTTAAAGTATACGCTGAAACGAAGAGCTTCAAATACCCGAAAGAAAACGTGGGCCTGTCAGCCGCAGGTAAGCAGCAGCACCCAAGGCCTTGCTTCTCTCGCTTACGTTTGCTGCTGCTGCAGCTGCTGCTCTACCCAGGTCATCTGCTGCTGCTGCTGCTGCTGCTGCTGCTGTTTCTCAGGGGCAGTTGTGCACTTTCCTGGGCTTGAGCGACGGCGGTCTCGCAGCAACTGAGGCTCTGCTGCTGCTGCTGCTGCTCGCCTTGTTCTCAGTAGCTAGCTGGCTAGCTGCTAGCTGTGCTGCTGCTGCACTGCATTCAACAGCAGCTGCTGCTCCTTCTGATACTGTGCTGCGTGACGGCGGCGTGACTGTTGCTGCTGCTGACCCACGCCGTTAGCCTTGCGGGGAAATGAAGCAGCAGCAGCAGCAGCAGCAGCAGCAGCAGCAGGGGTAACCGCCTAGCTGGCTAGCAGCTAGCTAACGAACTAGCTGGCAAAGCAGCTACTTGTACCACTCTTGCCGCGTAGGTGCCCAGGAGGGCATTCTAATGGGTCAGAAAGCTAGCTAGCCAGCTAGCTAGCCAGCTAGCTAGCCAGCTAGCTAGCGATATGACCAGCTAGCTAGCTAGCAAGCTAGCTGGTTATCTGGCCAGCTAGCTAGCTAGCCACGCCTCGATCTAGCTATTTGCCCTAGGCTAAGCAAGAGTCGTCTGGCGACGCTGCTCTTGCAGCGGTCTCTGCCCCTGCAGTTGCTGCTGCAGCAGCAGCTGCTGCAGCAGCAGTTGCAGCAACCGCTGCTGCAGGTGCTTGCAGCAAGTAGACCTCTTCAGAGGATTTTGTTTTTATAAGTCTGCTGCTGCAGGTGAAAAAGAAGGGACTTGCAACCCTAACGGGCAGCCACAGCTCCCCTAGGGTTTAGGGTTTAGGGCTTGATGCACAGAGCAAGGGGCCACTGTTGCTGCTCCCAAAGCAGCAGCTACAACAGCAGCAGCGGTAATGGCTGCTGCTGTTGCTGCTGCTGCTGCTGCTGCAGCTGCTTACCAGGAGCACCCAGCCATGTCCATATCTATAGTCTTCTTCGTGTAGGCCTCGAAATGCCTGCGCACAGCAGCAGCAGCAGCAGCAGCAACACAGACATCTGCTTGCGGCAGTGCCCGTGGCTGCTGCTTCCCCAGGTGCGCTGCTCCCAGCTAGCCGTAGCTAGCTTTTGGAAGCTAAGGGTGGCTAGCTGGCTTGCTACTCATGGCTAGCTGTGGCTAGCTACCCATTGCTAGGGTTGGCTAGCTAGTCATTGCTAGCTGTGGCTAGCTACTCATGGCTAGCTGCAGCCAGCAACCCATAGCCAGCTGTAGCTAGCTGCTCATGGCTAGCTGCGGCTACCTAATCATGGCTAGCCGTGGCTAGCTACTCATGGCTTGCTATCCCTAGCTACATGTGACTAGCTACTTATGGCTAGCCCAAGCTAGCTACTCATGGCTAGCTCTAGCTAGCTACCCAAAGCTCGCTGTGGCTAGCTACTCATGGCTACTTCTGGCTAGCTTCCCGTGGCTAACTGTAGCTAGCTACCCATAGCTAGCTGTGGCTAGTTGCTCATGACTAGCTGTGGCTAGCTACTCATGGCTAGCTGTGGCTAGCCACTCATGGCTAGCTAGCTGCTCGAGAGCAGCCTCTGGGGCTGACCATTTGGAGTCGAGCTTTTTGGGTTCGTCCACTGTCACTCCCGACGCCGTTACTTTGGCGAACTGGACCTGCAGCAGCAGCAGAGCAGCAGCAGCAGCAGCAGCAAAAGCAGCAAATCCAGCAGCAGGAGCAGAGCAGCAGCAGCAGCAAGTGTGCAGATAAAAACAAAAGCCAAGTAACTGCAGCAGCAACAAGTACCTCGTTAGACGCTGCGCAGTCTCTGTAGAACAAAATTCGCATGCACTCCTCAAGCAGCTCCCGCGCCTCCCTGCAGCAGCAGCAGCAGCAGCAGCAGCAGCAGCAGCGGCAAAAGCGTTCTTTGGACAGGGGGCCAGGCGGTGCTGCCAGCTACAGCAAAAGCACAACAGCCACAGCAGAATAGAAAGAAGCAACAGCAGCAGCAGCAGCAGCAGCAGCAGCAGCAGCAAGTGCAGCTGACTCTTCAGACATGTCAGGGCGCTGCCTTTCTCTCATCAGAGTAATGGCAAAGTAGCGCCCAAGGCCTGCATTGCACGCAGCAGCAGCAGCAGCAGCAGCAGCAGCTGCAGCATTTAAGCCAGGAAGGCACCAGTAGACCCCACGGAGCAGCAGCCATCCAGCAGCAACGTGGTGCAGCGGCAGCACGGATAAGGGTTGCACAAGCAGCAGCAGAATGCGCAGCAGCTGCAGCAGGAGAAGCAGCAGCAAGGCACCCTGCAGCAGCAGCAGCAGCAGCAGCGGCAGCAAAGGTACCCGTGGCGACGACTTGCTCTTCGAAGAATGTGCCAAGCATATCTATGGCTCCCAAGTACATTTCGGAGCCCTGCTGCTGCTGGCCTTCCTGCTGCTGCTGCTGCTGCTGCTGCTGCTGCTGCTGCTCGTGAATGCCCTTGGGGCTGCCCATGTGTCCCGCGACAATAACGGAGAGCCAGTAAGGATTGAACTTGCATCTTCTTTGATACATTGTCCTGGAGGTGTAGCTGGCAATGGCCTTGGGGCTGAGGGTGGTGCTGCTGCTGCTGCTGCTGCTGCTGCTGCTGCAGTCCGCGTGGGCCGCGTCCTCGTCCACCAACTCCTGCAGCTCCCGCTCCAAAAACTGGTGGTCTGAGTATTCCCCAGAAGTGCAAATGAGGGTTTTGTTGTCGAGGTTCATGAATCGGGGTTGTCCGCGAAAGCGCATCATGCGTCCGTAGGACACTGTGCGCACAAACCCTAAACCCTAAACCCTAAACCCTAGCCCCCAAACCCTAGCCCAGGGCCCGCAGCCAGCTGCAGGCCCGCCCCAGCGCACAAACTGGCGCAGCTCCCTCCCACTCATTAAAGCCCTGCTGCTGCCAAACAGGCGAAAGCTGAGTGTTGAACTCAAACCCTAAACCCTCAGCCCTTGCGCTGTGAGCTGCTGCACCTGCTGTGTCGGCCACCATGAGGACTCCGTCTCTGTACTTGAGGGCCAGAACAGATGAAGTGGTGGTTATGGGGTTTCTGGTGTCTGCGGGAGGCGCAGCAGCACCTGCTACTGCTGCTGCTGCTGCTGCTCCGGGCGTGCCGCCCTGCAGCGCCCCAGCCGCCGACATGCAGTCTATCGCGTACATATTTTGGTGGATGAGAAAGGGGAAAATAAATTTATTTAAAAGCTCCTTTTCGTAATGGCGGTGAGCACCTGATGTCTCTAGAGGTACGCCCCGACACACGCTGCTGCTGCTGCTGCTGCTACTGCAGACGCTGTTGCTGCCGCGGCGACAACAAACTCAGACAGAAAATGTTTTTACTTCGCTTCCTTATTGCTGCCGCTTACCGTCACAAACAAAACGCATGCAGACATATACCCCCAGCCAGCCCTTGGCTACATGGCAGCAGCGGCAGCAGCAACAGCAGCCGACAGCAGCAGCTGGTGTCGTTGAGGTGGACCTAGGGGGCCCCGCAGGCGGACCGTCCAAAGGCTTCTATGGTTTAAACTAAATGACACAAGGTTATTTCTTTATTCATTATATGAAGAATTGCATCCCATAAGTCATTCGGGTGCTGTAGTATTGCCTCGCATGCAGCAGCAATGGCTGCCGCTGCTATTACTGCTGCCGCTGCTCGTTCAAGCCCTTAACTGAAGCCACAGCCGCTTGGCTCTGCTCCCGTAGAGCTAGGGGCGCAGCGGTAATTAGATTGCTTGTACATAGTGGTCTTGCTGCTGTTGCCGTTCTGCTGCTGCTGCTGCTGGTGCTGCTGCTGGCGCCGCTGCTGCGCCTGCTGCTGCCAAGAATGACCCGCAGGAGCTCATGGATTCAGCTTCCTGTTGCATTACACACAGCAATAGGCGTGCAGGTCCTTATGCACATTTGCTGCTGCTCAGCTGCGGCTGCTGCCAGGGCTCAGGGAAGTGTTGCTGTTTCTGCACTGGCGGCAGCTGCAACTGTCGCTGCTGCATAGGCACCGTTTGCTGCTGCTGCCACGTTTCCTCCAGCCAGGGCGTCCGCTGCGCTTGCCGCTGCTGCTGCTCAAGGCAGCAGCTTCTGGAGCTTCTGCCCTGGGGGTGTTTCTGCTGCGTCTCAGCGCAGCAAAAAGCACTTATGGAAAGCAAATTATACTAGCAAAAGATATTAATGAAGCACTTAGAGAGCATGTGAGGGCAGCAAAGACAAAGCTGGGCAGGCACAGGCACACAAAAGAGGCCTATTAGGCCCGCAGCAGCAACAGCAGCAGCTGCTCTTAAGCTGCAGCGCCTTAAGAAAGGAAGAAAATATTGAGGAGAAGGGCTACAGATAATGGCGCAAAGAGCGCAGGAAGCTCAGATGCTTCTGCCACTGGGAGGGCCTGCCGCAGCAGCAGCAGGTGGAGCAGCAGCAGCAGCAGCGGGTGCTGCAGCAGCAGCCTCGCCTGATGATGCTGCAGAGAGGAACGAAGCAGAGTCTGAGGTGTACAGACAGCGCAAGGCACTGGACAGCAACTTCATGAAACACTTTCTGCCTCAACTTGCCCAGCAAGTTGTTGCTGCTGCTCGCACTGAGGGCGTTGCTGTTTCTTTAGCACTCGCGGCATATTTGCTGCTGACTCTCCCGCCTGCTGCAGCACCAGCAGCAGAAGCAGCAGCGCCACCAGCGGACAGGACCAACCAAAAGCCACCCAAAGCAACAGCAGCAGCAGCAGCAGCAGAACAATGTATTCAGCCATTCCGCTTTTCCCTGGCAGCTACACAAGCCCCCTCACACACGGAAGCAGAAGCAGCAGTTGCTGCTGCAGTTCGGCTGCTTCAGCAGCGATCTACGGACCCTGTTGCTGCTACATTAGCGCTGCAAGTTAGCTTTGAAGCATTGCTGCTCGATACAGTTGCTGCTGCTGCACTGCAGCAAATCCAGGAGGCTAAAGGCGTAGAGGATGCAGCAGCATTGGTGCGCCCAAGCTGTTGGTGTTGCTGCTGCTGCTGATTTTGCCGCTGCTGCTGGTAACGTTTATAGCGCTGCCTTGGTGACCACAAAATAAGCGGGCCCCTCTGAAGTGACAGTGTTTTTGCCTCGCCTGCTGCTACTGCTGCTGCTCCTGCTGCCGCTGCTGCTGCTGCTACTGCTGCTGCTTCTGCAGGTTGTG